AAATGTTCTGTTCTAAATTTAAATGTCTGAGTTTTAAACTATCGTGCTAAATCAGACTGATGTAAATTGGAAGTAGACTACCAAAATAAAAGCAGAGTGAAGAGGTCCGAACGTCTTGGATTTATTCCTGCTGCTAAAAGATACACCATCGAGACCTGAGGCCCGGTCCAAACAGCTGGACAACCGGGCCGATTTCTGACCCCATCCTACCCTTTCGACAGTTTTACGATCCCTCGGATTACTGTAGTGGCTCTAAAAATAATCCCATCAGATAATCCCACCATGTGTGGAGTTAAAAGTGCTCTGGTCTGCTCTGAAGCACGTTGGCTCCGCTCCGAATACGAATCGGGGAGAGCAGTAATGTCGGGTTGTTTTGGTTTAAAATCAGGGACAAACTGGCCTGTTGGAGGGAGCCAATCAGAAAGCTTTCACCGTCGTTGTTTACTTCTCACAGCTGATCGAGTGAGATTGCACTTCTGACTGCGTTGATGACTGAAAGTGGTGTGTTGGGGCGCCACACACTGTTGGACCAAAAATGGCCGCCCCTGATTGTTTACACGTGTGAGGTCTCTCGTGTTCTGAAAATCAGGAGGAAGTGTGAAAATCCTGGTGTCAGAACCGGGCCTAAGAGAGCGGACCTCTTGGGCTGGGTCATTTGTTTACATTTCAGCATGTTGTTATAACCTTGTGCACTTACCTTATATACCTACAATACCTTTATTTGTTCCTCGGTGGGGAAATTAAATACCTAAAATACATAAACTGAGTAAAAGTTACGATACTTATGTTTTACTTTGATTCAGTTATAAATATTTACGTTTATAGATTTAGATTTGGTTTTAATTCAAAGCTAAATATAAAATCTGAAACAAAGCAGTTTGCTTTTTTATTCTTTAAACATCGGGCGCCCCAAACGTCTTCCTTTAGCCGTGCAGATGCAGCTAGAAATAAGCAACCTTCTGAGTTTCACCAAGGAAACCCCGATCCCACATTTAGATAGGAAGTAAGTAAGTAAGTAATGGATGGATGGATGGATGGAAGGAAGGAAGGAAGGAAGGAAGGAAGGAAGGATGGATGGAAGGAGGGAGGGAGGGAGGGAGGGAGGGAGGGAGGGAGGATGGATGGATGGATGGATGGATGGATGGAAGGAAGGAAGGAAGGAAGGAGGGAGGGAGGGAGGGAGGATGGATGGATGGATGGATGGATGGAAGGAAGGAAGGAAGGATGGATGGATGGAAGGAGGGAGGGAGGGAGGGAGGGAGGGAGGGAGGATGGATGGATGGATGGATGGATGGATGGAGGGAGGGAGGGAGGGATCAAAGGATGGATGGAAGGAAGGAAGGCAGGATGGATGGAAGGAGGGAGGGAGGGAGGGAGGGAGGGAGGATGGATGGATGGAGGGAGGGAGGGAGGGAGGATGGATGGATGGAGGGAGGGAGGGAGGGAGGGAGGGAGGGAAGGAAGGAAGGAAGGAAGGAAGGAAGGATGGATGGAAGGAGGGAGGGAGGGAGGATGGATGGAGGGAGGGAGGGAGGGAGGGATGGAAGGAGGGAGGGAGGGAGGGAGGGAGGGAGGGAGGGAGGGATGGAAGGAGGATGGAAGGAAGGAAGGAAGGAAGGAAGGAAGGAGGTGAACTGATCACCGACTGAACCGGTGGAGGTTCGGGTTACGTGAGCTCAGAGGACGAAGACTCTGCAGCCTGAAGGTGATCATGGTGGTCTCCGCTGGAAAACCCAAGTCCGAGCGACCTTGTGAAGGACGCTGACCTGCTAGATGATCCTGATGAGGAAGCATCTGCATTTGTTTGCTTTAATACTAAACAGAGATCAGCACTGTGCAGAAGTCCGTCTGACCTTCTGGACGTGTCCGTGAAGCTACCGGCGAGGACGGGAAGCAGAGCTGAGAAGACCTAACTGAAGACGGAGACGGTCTGTGACTCCTGACCTGTAACCGTCTCCCTTCAGGCTGTTAGTGGTGTTGCTGTTAAACTTAACTGGAATATTCCTGAAAATCTGAAATACTTTTATTCTAATCTGATCTCTGAGGTTTTAGAGGAAGCAGGAAAGCAGAATGTTGTCTTTCTGTGTGGCTTTATTAGACTTTGTGCCAGTTCTGAACCGTCAGAGCTGAACGCTGCTGGACCGTGTTCCTGCATGACCGCTCATCATCCAGTCAATCACTTCGATTTCTGTCTGCTCGGAGTTTGCCCCCCACCGCCAGCTTCCATGACTCAGCTGCTTTTTCCATCCTGCTGTAAACAAAAACAGACATCAGAGCTGTTTGCTGTTCCTGAGAGGAATTCAGGAAGTCCGCGGGCTGCTCCCGGTGTTCCCCCGGCAGACGTTTGAGTTAAACGCAGCTCTGGGTTATTACGGTTTTAAAGGTGCATTAAGTAAGAATGACACCCTGTGGTCAGATGAGGTTACTGCAGTCTATTTTCCTAAACAAAAAAATGACTCTCTCACTCCCGTTGCCTGAGTTTCATGGCTGTTCCGGTTACGGACCAGAACCAGAACGCTCCAGATAACAAAAATAGATGAGCCATACACAGAAAGTAGATAAATAAAGTTGTCATATCTGGTGGTGGCACTCTTGGATGCTTTACGGTAGGGAGTAGAGGCCAACCAATATGTTTTTTAAGGCCGATGTCGATTTTTAAAGAATGTTGTTCCCGATGGCGACATCTAAAGCTGATGATTAAGGCCGGTATGTTTATACGTTTTAGCTGCACACTGATGATGACAGACAACTGAACACTCACTGTGTGCTACATAAATTAAATAAGTCAAGAAATATCTTAATGTTTATTGAACTTTAAATATAAAACAAACTCAGAACATTAAAAAATGGTGTGTTGGGGTCCTTCGGGTCTTTTCTGCAGTCTAGTAATGGTGGCAGTCGGCCACACAGGTGCCTGATTTATTTATTTTTTAAACAGCTTCTGGCCGATTGCCGATATAGAAAAAATTGAATGTATGGTGTAGGTAAATGGTCTGTGTTTGATATAGCGCCTTCTAGAGTCCTGGAACCCCCCAAGGCGCTTTACAAAACAATCAGTCGTTCACCCATTCACACACTGGTGGTGATGAGCTACGATGTAGCCACAGCTGCCCTGGGGCGCACTGACAGAGGCGAGGCTGCCGAGCACTGGCGTCACCGGTTCCTCCGACCACCACCAGCAGGCAAGGTGGGTTAAGTGTCTTGCCCAAGGACACAACAACAGCGACAGACTGAGTGGGGCTCGAACCTGCAACCTTCCGATTACGGGGCGAGCTCTTAACTCCTGTGCCACCGTCACCCCATGTATTGGTTGGCCTCTAGTAGGGAGCACCTGCTACACTTATTACGGTAAAATGTCTTTGGAATTAGAGGAAGTGTGGTAGTTTGCCGTCTTGCTGTTAGCTTGCTGTTAAAGTTCCGAACGACTCACTAAAGGAAGTAAAACGCCACGATTGACGCATCATTCGCTTCACACACATTTCACTGTAATATTGAAAAAGTAGCTTGAGGTATTTTTAGAGCCGACTATGTCAAGTTCTTGTGTGGTACACAATCCCCACGTGACAGGGATCATCTAGCTGGAGAAATATAGGCAGGATTCCCCTCAGGACTTCATGGCTTCACTTTTCATTTTGCTTTATTTCATTTCCATTTCACATTATTCCAGACGGAAATAGGAGATGACGAAGCACGAAGCAAGGCAAAGCCTATGCGCAGGTGAAAAACCTAAACAAAAACAGTGTGTGTGCTAAGAAACAGTGAAACTGTGTAAAATTTCATTATCTCTATATAAACTACCATTCATAAAAGAGGTAAATGTGTGATTTCAACATGATATATATTTTTTGAGCTAACATTTATAAAATAAATACTTGATTAATTCATTCGGACCCAAACTCACTTAAATTTATCACTTCAGCTATTTATGTTTCAATTTTACATCACAGCATTAAACAATGAGCAGATCTGAAGTAGCTTAACCCCCAAATTCCACTACCTCCGCTCCGCTCCGACACGAACGCCGGAGCAAAATCGGTCCCGTTGTAGTCAATCAGAGCAATTCCACTACTGCGGCCGTGCTCCGCCCTCTGTTCCGGCGTCCGGCAAAAATAGAATCGACCCTATTTTTGCCGGACGCCGGAGCACCTCTGCAGTAAATGGACAGAAATCACAACGGCCCAACAGGAAAAGGAGCAAGCACAATTTCCGTTTTTCACAATAAATCGATAAACAAAATGCGTTTTTTGTTTCATATGCACAGGTTTAACAACTTTTAACAACTATCAGTGGCGGCTGAAGTTTAAATGCACAAAAGTAAGCCATAAATACAGTTTCCACTATCAAAGTAGTCACACTTTGTTGATCCAAACACTGCTGATCTCTCAACACACATGATGGGCAGATTAAACAGTTCATGCCGATGCTTCTCCCACACAACGGGTGTTTGGATCTAACTTCCGCGTTTATTGCTCGGACTGTATCGCAAGATCTCGAAAATCCCGCGCATGCTTGTTTGCCCCCCTCAGGTCTCCGCACCGGAGCGGAGCCGTTGTAGAGCGGGTACCAGTAAACATTGAGTTCGGAAGCGAGCGGGGGCGGACCAGAGCGGAGCGGAGGTAGTGGAATTTGGGGGTTAGCGGCTGCCTCTCCAGTCTTCAGATGAATGTCATTAGCACCGCTTCGGAGGATCACCACGTTGGTGCTTCCTCTAGGAACTTTCACAACCAGTTTCCTCCCCTGACACGAAACGTTTCGGGGAATGCGCGATGACGTTCTGAGACGTGGAGCGACACGCGCACTGACCTTAATTATTTCCAGCTGTTTCATAACCACCTACCCCGTGTTTCTTTTATTTATTTTTTCCATTATTTTTCCAACTTTTTTACGTTTTAATTTTAGTTTTTTATTTCGATCTAAATAAACGCTGTATGATCAAGACTTTGACCACACAGGCTATTTGCTTCTAATTCACCATTAGCAATGTTAGCTCAACGTTAGCCGCTAGCCTGCTTCACCAGATATTAGGGCGAAACAAAAAGAAGCCATGAAATAACTTCTGGGTCGCTCCTGCTTACTGGCTTTGGTTCTTTGAACAACTCTAGAGTGTTTTTTCTGCTGGTGTTGGGCTGCTGATGCCGGCGCTGCAGCGTTTGGCGGCCTTACGGACTGTAAGCAGCAACTACATCACACTTAAATACGGAGAAAACCTGTTTCAGTGTAACCCTCCTCCCAGCACAACTGAGACTGTTCTGTGATTATTTCACAGTAGAATTCTTACACGTTGCTCCTTTAACTTAATTTTGTAAAGGTAACCATTTAGAAAACTTTGCTGGCATTTTGAGATTTTTCTAACTAAAAAAGATTTTATGGTTTGTAAAAAACATCAAAACCAGTTTTCATGTAAACAAAGACCACCCCATGCTCTTCTCTCGCCTCGCCTCTTGATGTCTGGTTGCCATGGTAACAACATCCGGAGGAGAATGAGGGATTGGAAATGGCCCCCCCCCCCCCCATCAGAGAAGTGTAATCTGCTCTCAGGCCGTTTCTCTCAGACAGATGATGCTCTTCCACGTGACGAGTCAGATTGTCACGGATGGAGGAGCTCAGATGGACCTCTGCCGGGCTCCAAACATGTCGGTGGTGTCCTGCTTCGTGTGTCTGAGGAGTCGACGGTGAGCTCAGGGATGTTCTGGACTCGTGATGTTTACGCATTGATGTGCTGCAGTCTCTGCAGGGCAGCTGCAGCGTGAGTGAAGCTTTTTGTCACGTCAGCAGATTTCAGCGCCTCTTCTTTGTCTCACGTTGATCCTTCTCTCCTCCTCTAATTTATCTTTCTTCATTCTGTTATCGTCTGTTTGTTTTTATTTGCTTGTTCCTGGTTGATGTTTAGGCTTAAATTTGGATTTACAGAAAATCTTGTGTTTTCATCGTTTTCATGTTGTCGTCTCGTATCGGGGTCGCACGTGTCGGGCCTCTCGTTTCCATGGTGACTGTACTGTTAGCGGGCGCTGCAAAAGGCTCGTTAAGTCCTTCTGTTTGATTTGCTGGGAAGGAAGATGTGAGGAGAGTGGAGGGGGAGGTGTGGTTTCACATTCTCCTTTACTACCCAGCATGCTTTGCAGCTGATGCGGCTGTGTGTGTGTGTGTGGGTGGTGGGGGGGGATGAAGAGGTGTTGCCATGGCAATGAGGTCGGGATGTGGGTCTGTTGTCATGGCAACAGGAGGTTGAGGAATGTAAATCAATATGTCCAAGGTCTTTGATGGGAACATTAAAGACACACACACACACACACACACACACACACACACACACACACACACACACACACACACACACACACACACACACACACACACACACACACACACACACACACACACACACACACACACACACACACACACACACACACACACACACACACACACACACACACACACACACACACACACACACCATCCGGGGACCTTTTAAGAAAACATTCAGATTTATATTTTTGTGAGGACCCTCATCTTTAAAGTCATGTGTCTTTGTTCCTGATGAAAGGAAAATAAGCATCAGTGGGTCTGAACCCTGATCTGGTCCTGCTCCAGGTCTGTGGGTCTGGGTCTGAACCCTGATCTGGACCTGCTCCAGGTCTGTGGGTCTGGGTCTGAACCCTGATCTGGACCTGCTCCAGGTCTGTGGGTCTGAATCCTGATCTGGTCCTGCTCCAGGTCTGTGGGTCTGAATCCTGATCTGGTCCTGCTCCAGGTCTGTGGGTCTGAACCCTGATCTGGTCCTGCTCCAGGTCTGTGGGTCTGAATCCTGATCTGGTCCTGCTCCAGGTCTGTGGGTCTGAATCCTGATCTGGTCCTGCTCCAGGTCTGTGGGTCTGAACCCTGATCTGGTCCTGCTCCAGGTCTGTGGGTCTGAATCCTGATCTGGTCCTGCTCCAGGTCTGTGGGTCTGAATCCTGATCTGGTCCTGCTCCAGGTCTGTGGGTCTGAATCCTGATCTGGTCCTGCTCCAGGTCTGTGGGTCTGATGGTGAGGGTGCTGAGGTGTTGGTGTTCCTCAGCTCTGGTTCTGAGGATCTTTCCAGAACATGGTGTGTGTTAGTCCTCCAGAGCTGTGAGATGTTTCTCTCCAGGCTCATCCTGGGTTTGCATCTGAACAAAAGCAGGTTGGTTTGATGGTTAATATTTGGATTTATGCGTATTTGTTCCCTGAATGCGTCCTCTACGTGTGAAATAGTTTGTACAGCAAGCTTAAAGCTGAAGTTCTCCTAGTGTGTGAGGGTGCAGCTGAAATGGAAAACCTAGCATCTCCATCTTAAGTGTCTTAATCATCTAGTTTTGTCTCTCTTGTCCAGACTTCAGTGCTTCTCACCTTACGTTTTTACTGGAAACGTTGTTTTCTCAGCGGAAAGTTCAGAGAAATTTTAGCAAACAGCACGAAGAGACTCCAGCATCAGTCAGTGCTAGCATACCCAGATGTTCCCCGTCAGACCAACCTTTGAGCAGCTGGAGGGCCGGCCGTTTTCACATCAGCTCCTCACATTTCACACGTCCGGGTCGAACCAGCGAGGCTGCGAAACAGGAAGTCAGGCGCCATTCTTATTTTAGTCATTTCCTGTAAACTGTGTGGATTTTTATGTGGGAGGAACAGATAATCTGAGTTTAAGATAAAAACATATCAGGGTGTGTGCGTGCGTGCGTGTGCGTGTGTGTTTGTGTGCGTGCGTGCGTGTGCGTGTGTGTTTGTGTGCGTGCATGCGTGTGTGTGTGTGTGTGTGTGTGTGTGTGTGTGTGTGTGTGTGTGTGTGTGTGTATGCTGCTTGCCATCACGGGTGTGTACACACGTTTCTAAAAACTCAGATTAAAAGCTCCTGGATTAGCTGTAGGATGCTTCCTGGTTTCCTCACCAGGCACATCTCTTGGGGGGGGGGGGGGGGGGGTGCTCCCACCTAAACCCCCACGATCCAAGAGGAATGAGAAATAGCAACAAAAAAAAGCTAATATTCTGTTTTCTATTCTTATCTTTCTTGTCAGCTTTGTCCCAAAGCACCTTCATTTTCACGTCTGGGTCTCTAACTGGTCCCACCTTCCTCCCATGTTCTGACTCAGAAACTGAACTGAGACCAGTTTCAGAAACCAGGAAGTGAAAAATATTCCAGATAGTTCTAAAAGTAATAGTTGTTTACCTAGAAGCTGACATGTTTCAGCCAGTATCCCTAGCCTCCATGAGAGATCTCCGGTGTAAAGGGTTAATTTACATGTTATTTAATGAGCCATGAGATTCCATAGGAAATATGGAATCAACCTGATGGATCTGTGGGTACTGTTTAACCAGAAGATTGGAACTTTTTATTGCAGGGATTATGTAACACTTCGTACTCACTCAGAGACAACAGAAGAGAGTCAAGTTTTAAAGGTTTAAAGATTTATTACTAAACTAATGAAACTAGACTAACTTTAACACTAAATGTATGGTGTAACTAAGGTGAATGAGACGGAGAATGGTGTAGTGTGGGATGTTGATCAGAACCAGCAAATCCGGAGAAACGATTAGTTCTGGTGGGAAGTGAAGGTGATGTCTTCGCGTTAAGCTTTGGTTAGGAGATTCATAAACCCATTCAACGCTATTCCGTTGGTCTACGTACCCTTAGCGGAAGTCCCCGTCTAGATCAGGAGATGTAAAGGTCCAGCTTGACCTTTGTGGAGCCGAAGCTTGTAGAACAGCCGCGGCAGCCGACCAGTCCAGTCTTGAGATACTTCCGGGTCACGACAGTTTATCGGCATCTAACAAGACCCAAACCTGGGTCGTGATGGTTCAGCTTTTATTCTGAAAGGAACCGTTGCAGCAGGTGGAACAGCAACAGATTTTATCCAGCTTGTCGTTGGTTCTGTCGGCTGAAGATGTCAAGAACTGAACTCAGAAGACCCGTGAAGACGCCAACACAGTAAAAATATATTTTAAAAAAGTCTTTATTTAAAGTAGAGGTACCTGGAGGGCAAGGCTGAGGCAGGTCCAGAGGCAGGCTAAGGTCAAAGTGGCAGGCAGAGAGCAAGACAGGGGTCAGGCAAAAAACAAGGTCCAGAGGCAAAGATCAGGCAGGGTGGATGGCTGGAGAACTACTGGCAAGGCTGTAATAATCTGGCATCTGTTGACTGGATGGCTGGTTCTTTTATAGCAGGGGAAGCAGGTGTATGGGATGAGGCTGATTACAGGAGCAGGTGGAATGAATGGAGCTGACTGAAGCTGACAGAGGTTGCTGGGGAAAGCAGGGCTTGGCTGGAGCTTGGTGAGAGGAACCAGGTGAGCTGAATGAAGGTATAATGAGGAAGTGGAGGAGGGTGAAGGATGGGAGTCATGACAGAAGAGGAACGTTATGGATTGGCCACTCCGACAACTTCTCTAGAACGCTTTGAACTGGCGTTAGAGATGACGTGGGCATAGTTTTATACTTCAGATGTTTTGGTTTATGGTCGAATGAAAAGATGGCAGATTTACCAAACACCACCAAAACCACGCCTCCGTCAGATCTGGCAGATTCTGATTGGATCAGTAAAGCAATGTGTCATGTTTTAACGCTACGTGAGATCAGTCCTAGTGGAAACATTTAAAGTCATATTACTTATTATATTCTATAGGATTATAATAAAGTAATTCATATTTTGATTTCACAGATCGTTCACATCTTATTTGTTGACTAACACTTTGTTTGATTAGCTTTATAGAATTCTTTGATTCATTAAAAAGAAAGAGTCCTTTGTCTTCATTCTTCTGTTGGGCTGGAAAAGAAAACAGTTTAGAGCAAATGCATGAGACCTTGAGGCCGTATCTCATGCAGACTAGTTCTGTATCAGAGGAGAGGGAAAAATGACTTTTGGGTGGAAAACAGTCATTTCATTCCGTTACACCGGTGATGGAGGACGATGTCTCCCTCTGCTGCCTACGTCCTCCGTGCTGATGGCACCGTCCCATGCATGATCCAATGTGCATACTCCATCGTCTCTGTTCATGGTTTTGTGACCACGTCTCCTTATGTCTATGGCATCCTTGAGCTGTAACAGACAACTGCACAAGAGAAAATCCTATAACAGACTGGGACTGCAGAAAACAAAAACCAGGGCAACAAGGACACAAAAGATGGATGAAGTTAGCCACAAAAGCAGCAGAAAGTCAGCAGGAGAAACTGGCCTGAGCAGATGCATACATGTCTGAGTGATGAAACGTTCATAAAACCAAAGATGAGGCATCACTATAACTCACTTCCTGTTTCACTTTGAATTGGGGCGTCCCGATTGGCTGATTTGGACAAGAAGGGATTTAATTTTCTTCTGTTTCAGTTTGCAGCATCAGTGATGATGTAGTTCTGACCATTTCCTGGTGGTGTATTCTCCTGCAGGAGGCGCTACAGAGACTAAAGATGGCCAACGCCATGGCTTCTTACGACCAGCTGGCCCACCAGGTGGAGGTTCTCCGCAAGGAGAACTCCCACCTGAGGAGGGAGCTGGAGGACAACTCCAACCATCTGTCCAAACTGGAGACAGAGACGTTTGGCATGAAGGTTCGTGGAGCCACATTTTTAATGATGTTTGCATTCTGCTGCCAAAAAAGGTCCAAGATGAGTTAATATTTAGTAAAAGTCAGCATCAGATTTTATTATTTTAATCATTTGGATCTGCAGCAGTAGGTGGGTCTGCAGCAGCAGGTGGGTCTGCAGCAGCAGGTGGGTCTGTAGCAGTAGGTGGGTCTGCAGCAGCAGGTGGGTCTGCAGCAGCAGGTGGGTCTGTAGCAGTAGGTGGGTCTGTAGCAGCAGGTGGGTCTACAGCAGTAGGTGGGTCTGCAGCAGCAGGTGGGTCTGCAGCAGCAGGTGGGTCTGTAGCAGCAGGTGGGTCTGCAGCAGCAGGTGGGTCTGCAGCAGCAGGTGGGTCTGTAGCAGCAGGTGGGTCTGTAGCAGCAGGTGGGTCTGTAGCAGCAGGTGGGTCTACAGCAGTAGGTGGATCTGTAGCAGTAGGTGGGTCTGCAGCAGTAGGTGGGTCTGCAGCAGCAGGTGGGTCTGCAGCAGCAGGTGGGTCTGTAGCAGTAGGTGGGTCTGCAGCAGCAGGTGGGTCTGTAGCAGCAGGTGGGTCTGTAGCAGCAGGTGGGTCTACAGCAGTAGGTGGATCTGTAGCAGTAGGTGGGTCTGCAGCAGCAGGTGTGTCTGCAGCAGCAGGTGGGTCTGTAGCAGTAGGTGGGTCTGCAGCAGCAGGTGGGTCTACGGCAGTAGGTGGGTCTGTAGCAGTAGGTGGGTCTACAGCAGTAGGTGGGTCTGCAGCAGCAGGTGGGTCTGCAGCAGTAGGTGGGTCTGCAGCAGCAGGTGGGTCTGCAGCAGCAGGTGGGTCTGTAGCAGCAGGTGGGTCTGTAGCAGCAGGTGGGTCTACAGCAGTAGGTGGGTCTGTAGCAGTAGGTGGGTCTGCAGCAGCAGGTGTTTCTGCAGCAGCAGGTGGGTCTGTAGCAGTAGGTGGGTCTGCAGCAGCAGGTGGGTCTACAGCAGTAGGTGGGTCTGTAGCAGTAGGTGGGTCTGCAGCAGTAGGTGGGTCTGCATACGCAGGTGTGTCTGCATCAGCAGGTGGGTCTGCAGCAGTAGGTGGGTCTGCAGCAGCAGGTGGGTCTGTAGCAGTAGGTGGGTCTGCAGCAGCAGGTGGATCTGCAGCAGCAGGTGTGTCTGCAGCAGCAGGTGGGTCTGTAGCAGTAGGTGGGTCTGCAGCAGCAGGTGGGTCTACAGCAGTAGGTTGGTCTGTAGCAGTAGGTGGGTCTGCAGCAGCAGGTGGGTCTACAGCAGTAGGTGGGTCTGTAGCAGTAGGTGGGTCTGCAGAAGCAGGTGGGTCTGTAGCAGCAGGTGGGTCTGTAGCAGCAGGTGGGTCTACAGCAGTAGGTGGGTCTGTAGCAGTAGGTGGGTCTGCAGCAGCAGGTGTGTCTGCAGCAGCAGGTGGGTCTGTAGCAGTAGGTGGGTCTGCAGCAGCAGGTGGGTCTACAGCAGTAGGTGGGTCTACAGCAGTAGGTGGGTCTGCAGCAGTAGGTGGGTCTCCATAAGCAGGTGTGTCTGCATCAGCAGGTGGGTCTGCAGCAGTAGGTGGGTCTGCAGCAGCAGGTGGGTCTGTAGCAGTAGGTGTGTCTGCAGCAGCAGGTGGGTCTGTAGCAGTAGGTGGGTCTGCAGCAGCAGGTGGGTCTACAGCAGTAGGTGGGTCTGTAGCAGTAGGTGGGTCTGCAGCAGCAGGTGGGTCTGTAGCAGTAGGTGGGTCTGCAGCAGCAGGTGGGTCTGTAGCAGTAGGTGGGTCTGCAGCAGCAGGTGGGTCTGCAGCAGCAGGTGTGTCTGCAGCAGCAGGTGGGTCTGTAGCAGTAGGTGGGTCTGCAGCAGCAGGTGGGTCTACAGCAGTAGGTGGGTCTGTAGCAGTAGGTGGGTCTGCAGCAGCAGGTGGGTCTACAGCAGTAGGTGGGTCTGTAGCAGTAGGTGGGTCTGCAGCAGCAGGTGGGTCTGTAGCAGTAGGTGGGTCTGCAGCAGCAGGTGGGTCTGTAGCAGTAAGTGTGTCTGCAGCAGCAGGTGTGTCTGCAGCAGCAGGTGTGTCTGCAGCAGCAGGTGGGTCTGTAGCAGTAGGTGGGTCTGCAGCAGCAGGTGGGTCTACAGCAGTAGGTGGGTCTGCAGCAGCAGGTGGGTCTGTAGCAGTAGGTGGGTCTGCAGCAGCAGGTGGGTCTACAGCAGTAGGTGGGTCTGTAGCAGTAGGTGGGTCTGCAGCAGCAGGTGGGTCTACAGCAGTAGGTGGGTCTGCAGCAGCAGGTGGGTCTGTAGCAGTAGGTGGGTCTGCAGCAGCAGGTGTGTCTGCAGCAGCAGGTGGGTCTGTAGCAGTAGGTGGGTCTGCAGCAGCAGGTGGGTCTACAGCAGTAGGTGGGTCTGTAGCAGTAGGTGGGTCTGCAGCAGCAGGTGGGTCTACAGCAGTAGGTGGGTCTGTAGCAGTAGGTGGGTCTGCAGCAGCAGGTGGGTCTGTAGCAGTAGGTGGGTCTGCAGCAGCAGGTGGGTCTGTAGCAGTAAGTGTGTCTGCAGCAGCAGGTGTGTCTGCATCAGCGAGTGGGTCTGCAGCAGTAGGTGGGTCTGCAGCAGCAGGTGGGTCTTCAGCAGTAGGTGGGTCTACAGCAGAGGATGGGTCTGCAGCTACGGGTGGGTCTGCAGCAGCAGGTGTGTCTGCATCAGCGAGTGGGTCTGCAGCAGCAGGTGTGTCTGCAGCAGCAGGTGTGTCTGCATCAGCGGGTGGGTCTACAGCAGTAGGTGGTTCTACAGCAGAGGGTGGGTCTGCAGGATGACGATCGATCCTTTTTCATGAGTTTTTAATTTTTGGGTGAGGGGATTATTCCTGTCTGGGTTTAACTCTGTGGCTCCTCCTCTTATGCAGGAGGTTCTGAAGCAGCTTCAGAGTAAACTGGAGCAGGAGGCGGGAACCCTGGCATCGTCTGGGAGGAGCGACGTTCTTCATCAGCTCAAAGGTTTGATTTGGTTTTAAAACATTTATTAGACATGAAAACCTTCTTCAGGAGGTCTGCTTTCTGCAGCTGCAAACCAGAGACCAGAATCATGAAACAGGATCAGATTCAACCGGGTTCATGTCTGCCGTCTTTCTGAATGTAGATTAAATGCCTCCATCACCAAATCTGTTCAATCTAAATGTTGGTCTGAGAGACCTTAAATGAGTTTGTTGACGTCTGACGGATTTGGACCTGCTCTTCCTCGACCTTTGAGCACCAGATCCATCTGAGCTGGTTAAGTCTGAACATTTCAGCCCAACAGTTCCGTTTAACCAGACCAGCGTTAGATTTTAATTTCAGTACAATCATTGTTTTAAACACACTGTATTATGTAAGCTACTCCTTTATCCGCTTGTAGTTTATTGTGGCACCTCTGGCCTTTATTTCTAATAATAATGATCATTATTATCATCATTATTATTGTTTGTGTTGTTACTATTTGTTTTTATTTGGAAGCACGTTGGGATTTTTGTTTGTAAAAGATTTTACTTTCTGGATTTGTTTGGCGATATTGATGTAACATTCTGGTTTATTTTTTAGTTTTATACCCGAAGAAGATCTGAAGCAGTGAAGGTGTAAAACAGAACAAAAGCCACGTTAGCGGTTTGGGGTAAAATGTTTCTTTAAATGGGAATCAATGTTATTATTTATTGACCCATTTAAGGCTGAATGAACCTGATCCCACTCCGAATCCGTCAAAACGCATTTCTGGAACAATGATAATAAAAGGATGCATTTATACCATTTTGAAGGATTATTCAGGGTTAATGCTGACGTCTACATCAGACTCACGCTGTAGTTGAGATCTAATTGAAGAACTAAATTTGGTTTTTCAGCTCCAGACGAGACAAAATTAGAAGTTTTTTTTTTAATTGGACTGCAAGGTTGCATTTCTAGTAATATTTTAGATAATATGATGACATTTAATGAAAACTTACTTCTGCAGCTGTTGTTAATGACTCATCCCCCCCCCCCCCCCACACACACACACACAGATAAATAACTCACTAATCAAACATTTTAACCGTTTTTACCGCTGACATCATCATGTTGTTGGTTACGTCCCACAGGAGGTGTTAAATGTGGAGGGGATAACATGAGAAACATGATAGTGGATTTAAAATGGGGTTAATTGTTATAAAAGGCTCTAAAAACAAGTGCAAACAGATGGAAAGCGTGATTAAAATAATGCAAAACGAGTAAATTCTCAAAAAGGTTAACGGCTAAAAGACAACATAACTATTAAAACATCTCGTTAAAACTTTATTAAAAGTTTCAGCGAGCTGAAGGTGTTTTACAAACACGACCAAGTCGACCAAAGTCTTAAAACCAGAACAGAGTTAACCTTTAAAATCCCAAATCCAGACATCATTAAGATCATTACTCAGTCAACTATGCTGACATCAACGAAAGATCCCTTTGGATCGCTCAGAGTTTTACTCGTTAGTCCAGTTAAGCAGCAGCCAGAGCAGAAAACCAGTTCTCCCAGTGACAGAGAAACCGAACATTTTAGTGTTTTTATTATAAAGGGATAAAAATCAGCTGTAAAATAAACAAAATAAAGATAACTGGCATCTTCATCCTCCTCTTCCTCCTGCAGAGCTCCATATGGACCTCACCAACTACTATGAACTCAAGCACCAACCTCACAACCTGCGGCTGCTGACAGCTGGTCTGGGAGGGGCGGGGCTAACAGGTGTCTCAGGGGTGGGGCCTGCCATTGGTGTGGAGTTAGGCGACCACTTGGCTCTGCCTTCGTCCTCCTGCTGCTCCTCCTCCTCCTCGGTGGCGAACCGAGCCAGGAGCCCTCTCCGAGTGACGTCACGTCAGGGCGTGTCATCCAGCGGGGACGCCGCGGCCATCATGCTGCCGCATCACTTCCTGGACGGAGCTCCGCCCAAAACAGCAGTGATCAGTGGAGCAGATGGACGGCTGAGCGACCATCACCTGGAGGAGCTGTACAAAGAGAGGTGGGGTGCACGTGGGAGCGATGCGACCTTCGGTCCAGACAGGAAGAGGCTGGTTTGACCAAATAAACTCTTCTGTAGGAATCTTCTTCTGGGAGAGATCGACCGTGAGGAACGGGAACGCTGCTGGTACTTCAGCCAGCTGGAGGTGCTGTCACAGAAGCTGGCCCAGCTGCCTCGCATCGACATGGTGAGACGCGGGAAAACGCTCAAACACTCCCAAACATCCTAAAAAAAGCAGTTGAGTTAAGCTCCGCCCTCTGTCACTGGGTTTTAAATGGTGACAGTAAGACGCTAACAGGAAGCGGGGCAGTTCAAAGTGTTTCCTGTCCTATGTGTTGTAGCTAGCCCTCTGAAAAGACTCTGTTTAGAGAAATAGAGCATATGTCCTCTAGGACTGTTAAGCTAGCAGCTAGTCTGAGCACAGCCAGAAGTTAAAGGTCCTAGTCTTCATCACACACTGGTGGAGTCATCTCCACATTTGCCCCGTCCTCGTGGGGATCTGGAACTATTTGGTGGTTTACACCCCCCCCCCCCATCCAACCCCTTAAAGCCGAGTGGGTCCCGATCGGAGGTCAGACCTGACCGGGGTCTGTACCCCAATCTCCCGGTCCCAGGGCTCAGAGTTTTCTCTGTAGGAGCCCTCTGCCCCGGGGGCGGTGGTCGACTGTAGCTTCCTGGGCGCTCTACATGTAGGTAGTGTTTAAGTGGAGGTGGGGGTCTATGCTCCCCCTCCTCTCAGCGCCCTGACTTAGTGTGGAAGACCTGATGCTGCCGGGGCAGACGGCTCCTCTGATGGCGTTTGCTTGCCTCACCTTACTTGGCTCATCTGGACTCAGCTGAATATAAATTGTTACTGGTGTGTGTGTGTGTGTGTGTGTGTGTGTGTGTGTGTGTGTGTGTGTGTGTGTGTGTGTGTGTGTGTGTGTGTGTGTGTGTGTGTGTTAATGTTTTTAAACTGTTATGGGAATTTGGGGTCTTTCTGTAAAGCACTTTGCTTGAAAAGTGCTTCATAAATAAAATCTGATTGATTGATTGACTGATTGATTGATTGATTGATTGATTGGTTGGTTGATTGATTGACTGATTGACTGACTGACTGAGCGGATACTCTACCACTGGGTCACTGAGAAGGTGAAAATGTCTGCTTCTGACTTCCTAAATGGAACTTCAAATCTTCCAACATGTTTTTCCAGTTTTATGGATTGCAACTGGAAATTTCATCTTTGCCAAATTTAAATCCCGACTTGGGAAGCACATTAAATGCAGGATTAGTTTTAAAGCCTGACTCGGCAGAGACCTAATATCTGTTTCCTAACGAGAATGAGCCCGGAAGAGTCCTCAGCCAACCAGGAAGTCCAAACAATTCATCACCTCGGTAACAGACGATTCTATTTATTTGTAGTTTTTGTGACTGTCGGTCTGACCTCTGACCTCTGCTGCAGTTTTCCCTACAGATGGATCTGATCCGGCAGCAGCTGGAGTTTGAGGTTCAGCGGGTCCGATCGGTGATGGAGGAACGCTTCGGCACTAACGAGGAGATGGTGCACAGGACGCAGGTGAGGCGGGAGGGAAAAACATCTGGTCGTGTCTCCAGATGTTTGTCACAGATGCAGAAACCAGAGAAAGGAAAACTGACTGTGTGTGTGTGTGTGTGTGTGTGTGTGTGTGTGTGTGTGTGTGTGTGTGTGTGTGTGTGTGTGTGTGTGTGTGTGTGTGTGTGTGTGTGTGTGTGTGTGTGTGTGTTGCAGATGCATGTGGCTCGTCTGGAGCAGCTGGAGAAGGAGCTGCAGGAGGTCCGAGGGAGTCAGGAGACCCAGCTGCAGGTCAGATCTGCTGAACTTGCCACCGTTTGCTGCTTTGGGGTTTTCGTTGATCTGTAGCTCATCCTGACCTGCTGTCCACCAGCTTCTGCTGAGCACCAGAGTTCAGCTTCTGGAGTTTGCCAGATTGTCTCGGGAAGCTTCACTGGTGCAGGACACAGGACTGATGGGAGCTCTCACGTGTTCTTCTCCAGATGTTTTGAATGATCCAGTCCTCGGTAGTTCGATCTAGGGTCGTCACGGTGTGAAAATATAACCTCACGGTTATTGTGACCAAAATTATCACGGTTTTCGGTATTATCGCGGTACTTTTTTTTAAAACTTCTTACATTTCCAGACAACTACATAAACCCTGTATATCAGGAAAATATTGTCCTCAGTTTGTGTCTAAATTTTGCCTAAAATGTGTTATTTTGTAATTATGTTGTTTATTTGTTTACATTTTTCCCCTTCAGTCTTTAAAATACCAATATTTGCCCATAACTTCTTATTTTATGTCTGTTTGATGTCATCATTTTAAAAATATTAGACCAGATGATACTCAGTACTCAAGTAGCCTTCTAATCAGATACTTTTGTACCCTTACTTGAGTAATAAACCCTATATCAGGAGAATATTGTCCTCGGTTTGTGTCCTTCCAGTGAGCTTTGCAGATGTGGGAAAATGTCATCAGGCAGTAATCGTTGTTAAATTCATAATTATTCTCGGAGAGAGACCAACTCTTATCTGCCCCTGGGAGCCCCGTAATGCATAGCGTCATTTCAACATGGCGGTGTCCGCGACACGGTTTATATGCAGGTAGCGGCGCTGCGGCTGCTTTATATAGCGACTCGTTGCATTCTCCCTCAACCCAAATCCTCTGATCACGCATTTTAGCTAAAGCGCTAACGTTAGCTTGCCTTGCGTTGACTGTAGAGTTGTGGGTGATGGTCACGCAGATGTGTCATGAGATTTGAAGCGTTGCTGCCTTTCACAGACACTTTTTCTGCACGTGCTGCAAACAGGATAGCCGTCTTCTATCAGCTGTCCCTCGGCATTCTTCAAATATCCAAAAGATGCCCGTACTTCCCACTTTGTCTTCTCTGAGTGATAATAAATGTCCTCCTGAGCGCTGCCGTCTCCTCCTTTGGCCATTATTTCAGCTTTAGCTTCGAGGAAGTTTTGGTTGTAAACAACAAAGTGCGCATGTGCCGCCGGCAACTTCAGCCGATGATACGGTGGCTGGTAAGGGTCACCGCGCCTACACCACAGCCACGGTAATCCACCGAGATAATATAGTTTTAAAAAACAAGACAGTTAATATTTTGTCAACTTTTTTTACCGGGGTTTACGCTACACCGGTTAACGTGACAACCCTAGTCCGATCCCCGGACCTTCAGTCTGTTCCCCACCGGTTTATTGGGGCGATGTATCTTCTTTGCTGTCCTTCTAGAAACCAGACCATCCTGTGATGCTTCTGCAGCGTTCTGAGTTAGTTGGACTCTTCAGCTGCATGTTCTGGACTCGCTTGTGAGCAGTACTTCCCAGATTCTGCTGTTGGTCTGCTTTCACTGAATAACAGCTTGCATGAGCACCACACGTAGAAACACATCTGCAGCTTCACCGCAGCTGTCGCTCCCACTCCAGCTCCACCTGACACAGCGCCACAGAGCCGTCTAAGGACCACACCCAGAATCCAGGGTACAGCGGCTCTGAGAAGGTGGAGCTGAAGGTGTGCAGGTGAACCATGGCGTCCTGAGAGATGCAGTAGAAGGACAGAGTTCCTGCAGGCCAGTTGAGGTACACCCCGACCCTGTGGCTGAAGGGTTCAGGTGAGACGGACTTGAACCTCCTGTTGCCATGGCACGGCGTGTAGCATCCCTCTGCGCACTCCAGACTCCAGGACTGCTCGTTGTGTCCCAGAATGCAGCTGGTCGTGTCCTTGTACCTGGAGATGCTGTTGTAGGTAACTCCGATGTCCACTCCGCCGGTCCACACCACCTCCCAGTAAACCGAGTCCAGTAGCCCCTCCCTGCACAGGACCTGAGGACACTCCACAAACCGATCCGGGTGTTCCGGGGGTGGAGGCGCCATCCAGTCGCGAATCGCCTTCCTGTTGCCCTCTGCTAATCGAAGCTCTGGGTAGGCGGTGTTGGGGTCAAGGGTCAGATAGGTGGCAACTGTTGGTTAAAAAGAACCGAGAACCATAAAATCTAATGAAGCATCAACAATAATTTGTTCCAAATCTTTCAAAACCAACAAGAAGGAACAGTCAGAGTCCTCCTGGTCTGATGGTCCCCCTCAAGGCTCACGTACGTGTCGAACCCCCTCGACCTTTTAGTCACTGATGGAAACGGTTACTGTGTGAGAAACTAACGGAAACTACGAGCTGGAGACAACATTTCTAGTTTCTGCTTCTTTATAATAAGCGAGACAAAACAACGAGACTAACGATAATGTTTCTCAGCTGCTTTTTAGTCACATCCCGCCCTCACCACGCCCACTTACTGCCATAAATGGTCACTGCAGAGTGCCTTGTGGACCTCACGCATATACATAAGCCGGCTGTTGCAGCATTTCGATCACGACCGCAGATGAAGGAAGCGTTATTTCACAGAAGCACACTGTTGGGAACGTTACTTTAAGAAAGTAATTAGTTTTAGTTACTGATTACTTTGTCAAAAAAGTAACTCAGTTACTAACTGAGTTACAAGATTATAAAAGTAACTAATTACTAAGAAAAATAACTACTTAGTTACTTTTTTCATTAAAGCATGCAAAAATTACTACAATAGTGAAATATAAATGCCTGGAACATAATAAAATGTCCAAATGTTTTTATAAACCTGAATAATTTAAATAAATAAGCACTTAACAGGAGGAACTACTAACAGGAACATTACAATTATCTAGACTATTAAAAGGTCACTGTGTGATATTTAACAAGACCTCAATCAGCTAAAATTTAAAATAGCAAATAGAAACACCTGTAAAGGTTCATGAGCCTTTAAATGGTCTCTCGGTCTAGTTAAATTACAGAAATAAATGTAATTTTGCACAGTATTCTAATTTTTCCAGCTTCACATAATTGTGTGTTTTTAGCAGCATTTCTGTTGCTGGTAATCTAGTAACGGTTAAATAAATAAATAAAATCCTTTAAAATGACACTAGAAGAGGCACAAGCCTGATGGAGGACTTACATTTACTAACGTGGGTCAGACCCAACCACAGAAGAGCTGCAGCTGGGTGGTGAACACACACAGGTAGTTCTGATAACACCTGAGCTCCATGACGTCTGAGACTGATGCATCAGTGTTACAGCGGGACTGAACACATGATCAGAAACAGGTTACAGCTGGATGATCTAGGAAGGTAGAAGATCAGGACGTCTGAGCGGTGAACAGGTGAGCGGACCTTCGGGACGTCCCGCTGTCACGCTAAGAAGGACACGGCTGCAGACCCGCACCTGCAGCCGTAGATATTCATCACGTCTTCCTCGTTCTTCACGGCCGTGATGCGCTTGGATGGAAACATCCTCCTCTTCAGCTCCTGATCAGCTGATGACAGCTTCAATACACCGCGCTGCTTAACGCACGCATTTCCTTATCAGTAACAGAAACGATCGTTTTGTTAAAAGAAGACGGTAATTAATTAATTTGCTCGTTACAGAAAGAAATATTTTTTTATTAACGTGGTTATTTTAAACGGCGTTATTCCCATCACTGCTCTGTTGGGTCTACAGCAGGCAGCGACTGAGACGGTGAGGGTCTCCGCCCACCCGGCCAATCATCATCGTGTTTGTAAGTGCGTTACCGACCTCTCTCTCCCTGGCTGCAGCTGAAGTGTGGCGGTCAGAAAGCCTCACGCTGCTGCTCAACGTTCGACAAGCACATAGTAACGCACAACCTTCCGTCCCCAGTAACGGTAACGGCGTTGCAACGGCGGGAAAAGTAATTAATTCGATTATTCCGTTACCTAAAAAAGAACGCCGTTAAATTTAAACGGCGTTACTCCCAACACTGCAGAAGCAGAAGTTGAGGTACCTGTGGGTGAGGTGGAGAAATGAAAGGAAGTGCTTTTGCAAAACAAATAAGAGAAAATCCACGGAGTGGCACAGCGTTGCTGAAGCCGTCAATGCTGACTTCTTCAGTCAGCCAAACAGCGATCTCCCTTGGCCAACTAGCCAGGGCGCATCATCAATCGTGTCACAGTGACAGGACACACACACACACACACACACACACACATGCACGGACACTCACACACACACACACACACACACACGCACACACAAGGATGTAGAAGGTGGGAGAACTCACAGTTTTTAGGCGACCACACGTCTCCTGCTGTCTGAACCCTGTAGGAGCAGAACCAGAACGTCATCTCAGTGATTTTATTCTGGTTCTGGTCCGACTGATTTAACTCACCTGGGAGTCAGCGTGAACAGGTTTATTCCAACGTTTGGAGTCTCCAGTTCTCCTCCTGCTAAAAGAGGAACACCAGAATTCAGTTCTTTGCTCCCGTGTTTCTGATCAGCAGCAGGAGCACGATCTGGAACGCATCAAACGCGTGAAGCGTGCAGCACGGACGTCTGCGTTTGGCTCAAACCCGCGTTGGCGCTCAGAGCCACGGTTGCAGCTGATAACAACACCGCTGTGGTACCTGTCTGTGGCGCCGGCGTCCTCCAGCTCTGCTGTGTTTCCGCACATCTCCTCCTCTCAGGGCCGTTCGTCTCTCTGTTCCTAGACTTGCTCACGTTGTTCTCCGTGATGTTTGGGTTCTGCTTGGTTCCACTGAAGCTCTCCTTGGTGTCTTGTGCCTTCGGAGTTCTGTCCCCCCTGAACAGATTCCTGAAGGCCTCGTTGGTTTTGGAGGTTTTGGAGTTGTCCTGCTGGCGTTCGTCTTTCTTCTCTTGGTCTTTTGAAACGTTGATTCTGAAGACACTGGAGATGTCCTCCTTGAGCTGGTTCAGGTCCTCTTTGAGATGACTCAGACTCAGAGGCCTAACCAGCTTCTCCGTGGTCGGATTTGCGACCTTGACTTTAAACTTTCTCCCCATTTCCTCTTTGAGCTGGTTGAAGTCTTCTTTGAAGAGCGTCAGGGGGCTGATGGTCCTTGTCTCCGTCTGAACGCGTTTGCTGCTCAGCTCCTGGAGGTCCCGTTCCTCGCCCTCCTCCAGCTCGGTCTCCGTCCGATGGCTGTCATCAGACGCTTCTTCAGGGAGACTCATTCTGAGCGTTTCTGCTCTGATTGTGTCGATTTGATGTTAAAATGAATCTCCTGTAAAATCAGGAATGTGCGAAACTAACAGAAATAAGTGGATTTCTGTGTTTTTTAGATGTTTCTTTGCGTGAATCTGAAAAAATAAGATATTTAGAAAAGTTGTCATTTGAGCCAAAGGATTATTTCCAGAGGAGGATTATTCTAAAGTAAAAATAAAAAGTAAAAGGAGTGAGATGAGATGCTTCCCAAGTCTGTTTCTGGAAAACGTCTGCACAGATGCATCCAGGTGGGATCTGGATTGGGAATTCTTGCTTCCACGACTCAAGCCTTCAGCTGCACTTCCTCAGACATAGTCGTTAGATTCTGATTGGACAGTCGCAGGGCTGCTGGTGCAGGACGGGCTCACAGGTCGAACTTCCATCCTGAATAACAGGAAAATGCTTCCCGTTTGCATGAGTTAAGAGCTGCTGGAGGTGGTGCGGAGAGGTTTTGTCCGTTTTCTTGATCTTGACCGTGTGTCTTCGAGTCTTGGTGAGGACACGAGGTCCGTCTCTGATGATAATCTGGAGCTGTGGTGTTGAAGGTGATGAAACCCACGCGCGTCCCGTTCAGCTGAACCTGCTGACTTTAAACACATGAAACAAAAACAGGAAGTTGCTGGATTGGGGAAACTGGAGGCTGAGCGTTTAATCTGCTCATGTTCAGGCTTGTTAATCTAATCCCAGATACTCACAGCTGCTTCTGTCGCCGCTTTCATTCAGTCTTCATTTAAAACAGAAAAACAAACGAGGTGATTTCAGACCTCCAGCAGCGAGACCGCAGAACTGGAGGTTTCCTCTGAAGCTTCCAGTCTGGAGCCGGTTCTGGTCCGACCGGTTTGGTTCCATACTTCAGTCTGATTACGCGATTGGCTGCAGGAAGCAGAGATTCTGGTTTCTGCTTTGATGAAATTCTGGTGTTGGGCTCCGGGCGGGTCTGGCTGCCGGCTCCGGGCCCACATGAATCAGCTGATTTCAGAAACTGAAGGAAAAGAGTCTCGCCTGCAGAAATGGCGATTTTTTTTTTTGTGATGTGACGAAAAGTTTTTAAAACCGGCTTTTGGTTTTTTTTTTTGTGCATGTAAGTGAGAACCTGAGCTCCATCTTCTGCCCTTTTGCTTAGGCAGAAAGTTGTGGTCCATTATTTTTAGTTTCCCAGAACCGATCAGAACCAAAACGATCATCCGTTTGTTAAATAGCCTTCAAGGCTTGATTTTACTGCAGGGTCCACATCTCCTTTCCTGCTCAGAGCAGACTCCCAGGCAGACAGTTGGTGTTTTAAAGCTGCTCTGTGATTGGCTGTTGCCGGGTAGCAGAGTTGGCTCAGAATGCCGGCATCAAAATAAAGAATCGGTTCCTCTTTTCACTTCTCAGCCACCGTTCAGAATAAGGAGACACTAACATGGAAACAAAGCTGACACGCGTTAGCCTGGCCTGCCAGACTCCTCCTCTAAGGGTCTGGGAACTCTCCTAGTCAATAACCCCGCCCCCTGTGAATACCAACCGAGCCAATCAGCGCTGAGCAGCGTACGCCACACACCACACCGCTGAGTTTGTCATAAACATGGCCACTGAAGCGGAGTTGTCATGTTGCGGGCTTAACCCAGGACGTGAAGAACCACACGTGAAAACCAGGCAAGTAAAAGAGTAAAATATTTTATTAAATGAAGCGAAGGAAAAACTAAGGGCGCTGACCCAGAAAAGCAGGAACAGGAACGGACCGGAAATCTAAAACGGAAGAATAAACAATCGTGAATACGAGGCGGAACCAGAGAACCAAGAGAACAATAAGCTTGGTGTTTGAATTGTTCTTATGGTCTTAAACCAGTTCTTAGCAGTGGTGGACTGGGTGAAGTTCAGTGGAGGAGAGGCGGCAGGTCCGATGGTTGTAGAGGATGTGGACAGGAGATCTGTTCCGGAACTGCGCTGCTCTGGGTGGCTGCCTGTTGGAGTAGCTCTGTTGTCTATATGTAAGTTTTGCCTTTTTTTGGACATTTTTTCTTCTAGTTTCTCAAGAAAACCTGTATTTTTTGGACACTTTACTTTTCTGTTTCTGGTGCTGTGAAGCTTGGAGGATTTTTACTGCTATTTTTTCACTTTTTAAACATTTGTTATGATGCGTAACCATGGCAACAAGCTGGTTTACAATCGGGAGCAGCTGATTAACATTGGGAAGGCTGAAATAATACCTCAACTGAAGCCACAAATTCCAAACGAGCTAAAACGCAAGAAGCGTGGGTGCAGAGCGGGAGCAAAACGGAGACGGAGAAAGAGGAAATTCAAACCAGTCTTCAGTCAGAGGCTTCTTCAGTTTGGCTGCAACACTGACCGCTACTGGAGATCCTTCCTGCCAACAGCCATTGTAATATACAACAACTCTTTGATGACTTGATTATTATTATTATTCTGAGCTACTACAGCAATCAATTTCCCTCTGGGATTAATAAAGTATTTTTGAATTGAGTTGAGATGGTGGTGTGAGTCCAGGGTGTGGACTAAGGAGAAGTGCGGCTTCAACAGGAACAGGAACCTAAAATCCGATCCCCAAAGCTGAGATCAGGAGCCTCAAAATAACATTTTTCCTAAAGTAAAAATAATGAATCAGCAAAAATTAAATATTTTTAAAAGTAAATAAATGAAAAATTTACAAAAATTACTCATTAAAAATAAATAAATGCTGGAGGGTGTTTAAGTCATTGAATGACTTTATTGTGAATCAGTGTCCTACATATTTTCCCAGAATGCTGTGGGAGTTTACGGTAACATCGTGTAAACTGCTTCATCAGGAAATAACTTTCGTGTTAAAACAACTAAAACGGTGTTGCGGGTCACCGGGGTGGCAGCGGTGCAGACGTGTCGATGCCGGTAACACACACACTTATCTTGAGTCTCAGCTCGCCGGACTCCATTTTGTCGGCTCGCTGCTGCTGCTGCTTTAATGGAGGTGGTTTGGATCAGAGCCACTGATCCAGGCGGTCCAGAAAACTCAGCTTTCCTTTGTTTAACAGACGGAAAACAGCTCAGCTCTTTGTCTCCCTGGTCTTCGTCTTCACACACACATCACACCCTGAGGCGTTGCCATGGTGATGGGATGGTAGCAGGAGGGGCTGAAGGCTTTCATATGGGTCTCTGAGGATTTCAGTCTGTGAATTCAAATGAAGCTGTTTGTGTTTTTAGCTCCAGACCTTCTGAGGATGTTCGTGTGCAGCTTGGAGGAGGAATGCTCAGTTTCAGGGGTTTTCAGCAGTCCCAGAGTAACGTGACCTGCTTAAAAGCTGTCAGGATTAGCATGCAGGTGGAGAAATGAACCTTTTAGAGGTGATTTTTGTGGTAAATCATCACACTGGAGTAAAACCTGTTCAGATTAATAACTCCAAACTTGCTTTACCCCCAAAAGTGAAAGCCAAAAGAACATCAAATCAGAACATGCAGTAAAATGAGCTGATTGTAATCTGCTACGTTTTTTACTTTCACAACAATAAACGTCTTGAGTCTGGGCCTGACTGTAAGCAACCTCAGAAACAGGAGACGAACCTGCAGGACTGGATCAGAACCGGGTCAGACACGGTCTGGTTTCCTTTCTGTGTGCAGCTGTCTGGAGCTGAGAAGCCCCCTGCTGGAGAACCGGAGAACTGCAGCTCATCCTCTGCTGCAGCTGCAGGATCAGAAGCTGCAGATGGAGGCAGCAAGGTAACACCTGATCACCTTAAAGGGACTTTACAAAGTTTTGAGTTTTTATGCTCGCGATTGCCCCCTCAGGCCAAAAGCGTAACAGCAGCTTCAATAGTAGGCTCGTGCACGAGGCGTGCATGCTGTACGTGCACACTCCTTAACGAAAATAACAGCTAAGACAGTCTCGTGGGGCCGGGGGGGGGGGGGGGGGGGGGGGGGGGACAGGAGAACATGCAGCTAATTAATTAAATAATGTGGTTCTGTACCTTTTTCTTCAGCACAGCGACAAAGGTTTATGATGGGTCAGTCCTCCTGCATGCTCAGATCATTCCCTTCCCTTGCTTGAAAAATTGTTCCAAAATGAAAGTTGAACCCACATCTTTTTTATCTGTGAATTCAATGCCGTTCGGCGAGTCTCAAATAAAAATTTGGGCATCTTACTGTAAAAAAATATACCATTAATGTAAAAAAGAAACTCTAAATAAACTATGTTCACATCCAGAATCAAACCCAGGTCTTCTGCACTCCGCTGTCTCACTAAGTGAGCTAAAGCACCAGTGACATCTTTTGTATCTGTAACGTTTATATCCTTGATGACAGCTGAAACAACGTTCAAAGAACGGTTCGGAGTGAAAATGGCTATTTTGTTGCTAATTAGCAGGAAATATCTAGAAGAAAGTTCTACAGAAAGTAGCTAAGGGTCCTCAGAAATGTAGCTAGCTTTGTCACTAGGCGTTAGGAACAGCGACAAAGTGGCACTGCCTCTCTCTCTGCTGCTAAAGCTACGGATAGCAAATGCTACGGGCGATGCCTGAGCGTGAACGCGCATGAAGCAGCCTGCTCGACCCGAGCGTCTCTCTTTTTCTGTGATTTTACAGAAAAACAGGCAATCACAGTAAAAATGCCAGGGCTCATTCTACAGGACCAGGGCATTGCAGGAGAATGTATGAAGAAGACATTTATTATTTCTATACATGTTTTGGCTGTCACACTTCCATAATGCCCCTTTAATGAGGACAAAATCATTCCTCTGGTGCAGGTTTAACATCACAGGATATTTACAGCATGGAAGCTGCTGGATGACAGGAATTAGAATATCTATCAGTATTCCAGCATTTGCATTTAAATGTCAGTTTTAAATCGGTCATTAATAGCAATAATATCACTGAAACAAGCCAAGCAGGGTATCATTTAAAGACATTTAATCATTTTTTTCTCTATTCATCTCCTCAGGTGGAGATGGTCTTCTGGCT